TGCAGAGGCGAGCGTGATGGCAATTGCCATCGAGGGTAAGCAAAAGAAGGGCAACGAGGCTAAGGGAGACTCCAAACAGACGGGAGATGAGTCTAGTGGTTCTCGATCTAAGGAGGAGAAGAAGAAGGGTGATCCAGGGAAAGCAGGATGATCCAAATAGACTGCGAGAAGACACGGCATACAGTTGATCGGTGCTAGGAGAAGTATCCTCATCTCAAACCAAAAGGGTTAAAGAAGAAGGAGGAGAAAAAGGCATACATGATAGCTCAAGGTCCGAAAGAAGTCTCGGGGATGACAGAGCCTAACAACAGTCTCAACCTTATGACGGGAAAGCAAACCACGAAAGAGGACGACGACCCGAGAGAGCAACTCTTTGTTCTTAAGTTGCAAGTGAAGACCAGTTTGGTTGATGCCATTGTTGATTCGGGCAACGAGAAGAATTTGATATCTGAGGCATTGGTGCAGAAGCTGGCTCTGAAGGAGGTCAAGCATCCGAAGCCCTATCCATTGGGGTGGATTCAGAAGGAGGAGAAACTGAGTGTAGTTGATCAATGCACTGTCAGATTTGCGCTCCACTAGTCGTATATTGACGAGGTCACGTGCAATCCGTACTTATGGGATAGATATGCGATCTACGAGAGGCGGGCTCAGAAGTACACATTCACTAAGGACTTATGGGATAGATATGCGATCTACGAGAGGCGGGCTCAGAAGTACACATTCACTAAGGATGGTGAAAGGTTCATATTTTGTTCGGCATCTCTTCCGAAAGAGACAAGCTTGGGAACAGTGACGCGAGCGAAGAGATTAGTGAATGCAAGCAAGAAGTTTGTCTCGCTGTGCATTAGACTTTCAGAAAAGTCATCGACAAAGGATTGCAACTTAGAGTGAATGGTGACTATGACGAGACGCGGGACGAATGAGTTGTTTCCGATCGGACGTCGAGACCTGATTCCTAGCATGGCTAGGTGGTGCAGAAAAGATGGAGGAGCTTGAGAGTTTCCTTAGCTAAGGTTCTAACTTGAATAGGACTTCATGTTCTTAGGGCTGGGCATATTCGGTTCGGTTCGGTTTTATGCCCAATCCGCAACCAATCCGAATTTTTCGGATGTTCAAAACTCTCATCCAGATCCAGATTTTTTCCCCTTCATCCGAATATTCGGCCCAACCGAAATTCGGTTCGGTTCGGTTCGGTTTCGGTTTTGAATTTGCAAAGAGTTCTATCCAAAGACTTCTGTTATGAATTTGCAAGCTAGGCATTGTCCTCATGATGAGGTTCCTGAGCTCACCAACAAAGCTTTATTAGACTAGTTATCATCTTTAGAATAAAGTTTTGAGTTGATATAATTACGCAGAGAACTGATGTTTTAAAGATGTTGTTCATATAATACAGCATGCTTATCTCTTGTAAGTATCATGTACATAACACATTTTGTGATTGATTTGAATCTTATGTAATTCTCAAGATCTTTTCTCTGAAATTTTTTAACTAAAGTTTAAGTTTATTTAATTACACGAGGGAGTGATGTTTTGTATGATATTGTTCATATAATGTAGCATATGCATCTTTTGTAAGTGCATCATGTGCATAACAAATTTTCTGGATTGATTTGAATCTTTACTTAGTTCTCAAGGATATTTTTCTGTGATATTGCTGTACTCATTGCTTGAAACTACTCCTTGCGCCGTTTGAATCTATTGGATGATAACAGGAAAAGTTTTGAGGTATAAGTTTAGTCTCTAAACCGCCCTACAAAATTCGAGTCGGTTTTTTTTTGGGCGGTTCAGGAGTTCAAACCGGATCCAAACCGATTTAATTTGGTTCGAGCGGTTTAGAGACTTCTTCTCATCCATTTAATTCGGTTTAGTTAACCGGTCCATTTTTTCGGGCGGTTTTTTCGGTTGAACCGGTTTTTTTTGGTTTTTGCCCACCCCTACAAGTTCTTAAAGAGGGGACCCATAATACGGGTGTATCTTCTCTTCGAAACTTAGCGATCCTCATGGGAGCTTGAGGATAGATGATTCTCATGATAACATAAGAATAGAGGTGTTAAACAGTATAAGGGAACACAGGAGGAAGCATGGAATGAGACGACGAACAGAAGAATCGAAGTATTCAGTTTTTAGCCTGTGAGTCGACTCATAACAGTCATGAGTCGACTCATCAGGTTAAGTCGACTCATGACTATCATGAGTCGACTCATCACTGGTTTTTTTGAGTTTTGTCCAGTTACTAACGAGTCGACTCATCTCAGTCATGAGTCGACTCATCGATGGTTTCCTGGTTCATTTGGGTTTCTGTTCACACGAATTCCTGTTGGTTTTGGGTCTGGTTATTTACCAAATTGCCATCCACGTTTGTACACCTATATAAATGATTGTTTTAGGATTTCTAAACAATCAAGAGAGGTAATTAAGAGAGATTCTAATCATTGTATTAGGGTCTAGAGAAGGTATTTTCCTTCGCCATATACTGAATTGTGCTTGTGTTTTAGTTCTCTTCTTCTCAACCCACCTTTTGGTAATTCTGCGACTAAAGGGTGCTCACACGGCAACTCGTATCAACTTCATTGTCCTCTGGTGAAATTTGCTTGTTTTGGCAAACTTCGCTTATCAAGCAAGGTTTTGCTATTCAAGCGAACGTCGCTTATTAAGCGAAGCTCAGCTATTCAGGCGAACATCGCTTGTTAGGCGAGTTTCAGCTATTCAGGCAAATTTCGGTTGCCAAGGGAGGTTCAGCTATTCAGGCAAACTTTGCTTGTTAGGCAAGGTTCATTATGTTAGGCGAGCTTTGTTAGCTTACCAGCTTAATGGAGCTTGCCTGCATAGCGTAGTTCGCCTATCTCAAGGACTTAGTGAAATTTTGACTTCATGTCAAAGAGTTCTAATTTCATTTGTTCTTTGATTTTCAGTGGCTTATTCTAAGGAGGCTCTTTCAAAGGTCAGTGCTATTAGACATGCTAGTGGGGTAAGGTTCTCCATCCCCGTCAGGTTCACTATCTATGAATACGTACTAGTTTTCTCTGCTGGCAGCTTTGAGGAGCTAGTATAGATGATTTTCGAGGGTCATTATCTGACAATCTGGGAACTTAGCACCGATGCCACCCTCACTGATTCCAAGTGGAAGGAGATGAGGAAGTCGTGTTTTCTCTCTGGTGATGTTATCGCCGATCCAACAAGCTTGCCACTTGGTGAGAGCAGATGGCTATGGGTTGTTGATGATGTCTGGTATTGCATCCTCACCATGCCCAGGGGGTTTTCCATTATAGAGTTGTGATCACTATCCGTGCCGAAAGTGATGAATTAGGATCTGACTCCCACCCAAGATGGAGTCACTTGCGGTATCTTCAGAGGCTCGAAAGCTGATTTTGGAATAGACAGCTCGAGCATATATGTCACCGCTCTGCATCCTGGTCTACTACAGAGAGACTTGCATATGGGGGAGATAGCGGTGGTAGCTGAGACTTTCAGCATCATTTCTTCAGTGCTAGGGGGCAATTTCCACCAAAAGACTTCAGAGCTCCTAGGTGGATCCATTCCGCACCAAGCAACTCACTCTGGTGGTCTTGAATCACCTAGTTTATTTTAGAGGAGAACTCTGACCTGTAGGGTACAGAGTTATATACTACCATCTGGGCCACGTAGTTTGGCCTTAAAATAAATGTGGCGCACTTTCAGAGCATTCTGGAACTCTACTACCCCAAAACTGGGGCATTCTTCACCAAACGGTAAACTGGGATTCATATTGCACGAAATGTATGAAGTGTAGGGGTAGTCGATGGGGAAAATCTTGTATGAAGAATACATCCCCAGGTAGAGAGAGATTGATTGTCTCTCAGATAAATTTCCCCAAGTGGTCGAGACCTTCTGGGAGTTGCTCTGCCACTACCATATTTGCTAGCATATCGTCGGGGCAATGGATCGTAGAGGCAAGAAGAAGAGGAATCGAGTGATAAGCCATAAAAATTGGGCTGACTGCCTGCTTCAAAATACTGACGAGAAGAAGATGCAAATCTTGACGTTGGATGTTTGTGATGAGTTCACCATGTAGAAACAGATTTTTAAGAACAAGATCTTGGAAACCCTCGAACATGATGAAGGGGAGTTTAAGGTGAGGACCACTTTTCAATATTTTCACCACCAGGCCAAAGTTCCCATTTCAAACAAGGCTCTGCTCGCAGGCTATTTGATGTTGTGGCTAAAATGTTGTGTGGTCCCCACACATTCGTTTGAAGCCATCCTAGTGGAGGTGGTATACCCAGTAATTCACTTAGCTCACGAACAACCTCATGCACTACTCCTGATCATGGTAGTGTGCATTTAGAGTTGGCTTCGTACCTTAATGACATAATTTTGTCGAGTGTCATACGTTGAGGAGAGGGAGGGAGAAGAAGTATCTAAGACTCCTAATTCACGCGTCAGCCTACCATATACTTATTTGATGGCTTGGTTAGTACTGCACTGTGAATGCTTGATGAGTGCGCCGGCAACACGTCGGGAAGGGCAGCTGATCCCTTTCGTTCAATGCTTGGAGAAGTGCTCGTGGAAGTACAAACATATTAAGGAGATAAGGAAGACTCTATCCTTCTTTAGCAACTACAACTTCTACTGGTGCTTTCCCTATTTCTCTGATGGAGGGTACGGCAAATCTTTTAAGGACATGCCAACAAGAGATAACTATAGTGCTTTATCCTTTGGTAGTTTTCACTGGCTTGTCAACATTTGAGCAGGCTACCATGTTTTTAGAATGGGCTCTATTTACCACATGGAGCCCTATTTTCCCTACCGATTCGCCCTCCAATTTAGGTATGATTAGCTATATGCGGGGAACCCGAACCCTTAGTTGAGTTATGAAGGGGGGCTAATTGACAACACACGGGGCTGGTATTAGACTCAGGCAGGATGTACCAGCACCTATTTTGTATTGCCACCCAAGACCCCACCACTCAGGCATACCTTAGCCTATAGCAAATGGTATCAGAGTGCGAGCACAGCACCATAAGGCTTCAAGCCTTATGAATCTTGCCTGACGGTGCTAAAGCGTGTATCAAGTGAAACCGCTCGTACGCCGAGGCGGAGAGCATACCAACAATTCGAGGAGCTCAAAGAGTCTCCTCTTGAAGAAGTTAGTGGTTTCGAGGGGATTGTATGACTTCCCAGGGGCGTAATTTCCAACTCAGTACGCTCCTTCCCAACTCGACGCCCCTGCCGAAGAGGAGACTAAGGAGTTAACCCGAGCAGGCATGTTTTTGGAGAGTGTCAGGAACGTCATTGCAAACCAAATGTGAATGTCCAATTACGCTCCTAACTTCACCACCCCGCCTAAATGTTAATGGGAGGTAGAAACTGGTCCCTCTGAAGAAGAGGTGATGAAGAAGGCCGGCCACGATGAGGCAACGACAGTTGTTAAAACGGAGGAGGGCCACGGACCAAGTGCTATCGAGCCAACTTCTGAGGTGACTCCTTTCGTTATCCCACCTCCTTTGACTACAGAAGTTGGTTCATCACTCCCTATAGTTGTGATGAAAATAGCTCTGTCGACATCTGAATTGATGACACTAATGCTAGCTGCTGATCAACAAGTTTCGCTGAGCCTACGACTAAAATCGTTCAACCAATTGCTTTGGAGGGTATCACTTCCTTTGACTCCCTTTTTTTAGTTAACCATGATTGCCTCACATTTTCTTGATCTTATCGCAAGAACAGTGGATGCGGCTATCTCTATCTCTTCTGCAGAGGAAGAAGAGGCAGTTGACTATTCTGGGGAAAGAGACACTGATTTCTGTCAGTCTCCAGGGGCTAAATCTCCCGTTGGGGACTTGGATACGGTGAGTCCTCCTCGCAAATAGGTTTCAGTGGCTACCACTTCTGCTCCAAGTACTTTGCATCGTGAACCCTTAACTTTACAGGAATTGTTTTAGTGAATATGCTAATGCTTCTTTTGTCAATCTTTACTGCAGTTGATACCACCCCTGAAGTCGTTAAGAAATGGACTAGTTTGTTGGAGTCCATACATGTAGGGGCTTCTACCTCTCCTCGACCACACATTTCTTATTGAGTGAGTCCACCGATCGAGCCTCCAATTTAGGAAGAGGAGGCGACAATTTCATCAATGGCCATCGTCGCCTTCATATCTTAAGCTTCCACTTTAACAACTATCGAACCAGTTGCCAAAACAACAATGGCAAAGTCCTTAATTTCGGTGGTGTCTACTCCGACTTTCACCATCGTAGCCACCAGCGCTCTACTCCTAGCTCCTACAAAACCGCCAAATGCCGATGAAGCTCTACTTTCTCCCACTGCTCGTATGCAACAAAGGGAAGGGCTGTAAATTGAACTATCGAAAGCTTCCGGTCTTTCCTTCAGGATAGCGTAAGGATGATATTAGATGAAGGCTACTACTTTGATGAATGTAAACCAGGCTTGCAATTGTATTTATATAATTTGACCAAGTTGGTTGCTGTCAATGCGGCTTCTCCTTACTAGATGCGCTTGTGGCTGGTGGAGAAAGACGTTCAGGAGTTGCTCGCCCTCCGCTCTGATAGCTCTAACATCATCAGCTTAGCTTCTGAAAGGGTTCAATCAGCCTTAGAAGAGTAAGAACGTCTTTTGAATGTGGCCATGGCTGAGGAAACCCGATTAAAGGAGGAGGTGGAGCGAGCTACTGCACAGGGCACACATATTGAGGAAGAATGCAGGAAAGCCAACTCCATCTTAGCGAACTTAGCACACTGTATAACTAAGGTGAAGTGCGTCATAGCGGAGGCATAGGCTTTCTTAGTAGAAAAAGAGTAGGCTCGCAAATAAGTGCTGGTGGAGTTAGCGGGGCTCGAGAAATAGCAATAGCAGGTTCTTGGTGAGCTGGAGGAGAAGGATAGAGCTCTGAAAGTAGTTAGGGCTCAGCTAGTTGACACCATATCGCTTACCGATGAAGATATTCGTTGTCAAAACCTTAACGAGGTTGAGAAGGAGCATGCCAAGGCCATACAAGATGTCGAAGCTCGGTTGAGAAGTTTTTGATTTTGTTTTGAATGAATTTTGTAACAAAAACTTCTTATTATGAATAAACTTAGTTTTTATCAAATTCTCACTTTCAATATCTTATGAATTTTCATTTTATTTGCTCTGTTGACTGGTAATTAGGATTTTTATCAAATCCCCAATTATTAACGAATTTAATTTTTCCTTTACCAATTACCATTTGAATTGAGCTAGCCATACTATTTCCCTCAATATGGTGAGTTGTTGAGAAGTTTCTTTTAGACTTCACACTAAAATTTCTTCTCTACCCTTAACCATTCTAGGCATATGATTAATAATTTATCAGGATTACAACAGCTTGGTCACAATCAGGTTAGGCTGTACCGTTTGGTGTGATAACTTAGCTTGTGAATTTGAGAGTGAGACTCGTCGCATGGTAGGTTCGCTACTCAAATAAATGGTCATTTATACAAACGACTAAGATGGTGATGATATTGTTAATATAAAAATGATATCGAATCTGAATGGCGACTCGTCACTTAGTAGGTCTCTATTCGGGAATAAGGGGGTTGATAAGACACATCGCTTGGTAGGCCACTATCAACGAACAATGTCATTTATAGGAATGACGGTGTGGAAGTAATCAATTCATTTAGTGACGTGGGAGTATAACGGCTATGATTAGAATAGTTGCCCATCGCATGATAGGCTACTATCATCGTTCATTCTAAGAAGATAGAACGTTCCGAGTGGATCAGATAGCAAATCTTCGCACGATAGATCATTATCCTGATCGAGTGACAAGTAGGGGCTCATCTCATGGTAGGTCACTACTCGACGGAGTTGACTATCAGATGTAATCGTTAACGTGATAGTCTAGCAAGCGCTCATCGTCCTATTGAAAAGGATTAGTGGGGGCGTTTGTGGGATATTGAACTATTAGAGGTAATTATTAACCTGATAGTTGGTATAGATCAGCCATCCTGTTGAAGAGGATTGGCGAGGTAATTTAGAGGAAATCAGCTATCAGAGGTGATTGTTAATGTGATAGTTTTATGTGAGCCTGTCATCCTATTGAAGAGGATTGGTAAGAGAATTTGGAGTGTAATAAGGGATGTTTGTTACCTTAGTTAGCCTCGTGGGAGTTACAAGAGTTTTGGTGGCTTTAACGATATGGACGATCATGCTCCTCGATATTGTTAAGGCCATCTATCAACATCTCACCCCTGGTGTTTGAACCTCGGCGGTGAAGCGACTAGCATATGACAAGCCTATGGGTAATACTTCTTCAGAAATTTCCCGTTAATAGGCATCATGATCTTTTCGTCACTCGTTTTGACAAGGCGATATGCTTCATTCGAATAAACCGTCTCTATGACGAATGGTCACTCCCATTTGGGTTGAAATTTTCCTTTCTTTTTGGAATTGAGTAACATCGGTCATCAAACAGTAAGGACCAAATCTCCTTCCATGAAAGATCTATGTTTGACTTTCTTAACAAATCTCCTTTCTTTTTGGAATTGAGTATACTGTTGCATGTGTGATACGTAGGGATGGAATTTGAATTTTCAGAGGTAATACGGCTTCACATCCATATACCAATAAGTACGGCGTGGTGCCACTTGGGGTGCGGACCATAGTATGGTATGCTCATAAGCTTTCACATAGCTTCTCATTCCAATCGTGCTTGCTGGCTGATGTCAGCTTGGTTAAGATCTTAACAATCATCTTGTTGAAAACTTCAGCTAGTCCATTTGTCGGTGGATTGTAAGCAGTGGACGTGAGGTTTTGAATTCTGAACTTTTCACAGAACTGGGTAAATGCATGATTAACAAATTATGACCTGTTATCATGAATGATACTTTATGAATTTGACCAAATCATTGGTTTTGACTTTTCTCAAGGGAATAACTTTAGCCCATTTAGAGAAGTAATTGGTTATCGCTAAAATGAAACTATGACCCCTTGCTGATGGTGGAGATATCGGTCCAACGATATCCATCCCCTATGTCTCGAATGGCCATGAAGTCACTGTCGGATGTAGGTCTTCGGGTGGTTGATGCATGTAATTGGCGTGAATTTGACATGCGTAGCAATATTTGACATAAGATACTGCGTCGCTAATCATTCTGAGCCAATAGTATCCCATTCTTCGTAAGCGATCCCAAAGCCTGGGTCCGAGCTAGTGAGATTCGTAGGTACAATTGTGGGCTTCCTTCAGGTCTTCCTATGCTTCTTTGGTTGACAGGCATCATAGTAACATGCCGTCATATGGCCTATGATACAACGTCTTTGTGGTCGTGTCATAGTAATATCTTGGCGCACGTCTACGAACAGATTCTCTCTCTTTGACATCTTTGAGGAGTATGTTGTATAAGACATAGTCAATGATTGGAAACTACCAATCCCTTAGCTCGAGTTGACCTATAGTCTGGTGAGTTGCGTTGACTTCCAGAGCATACTTCTGTCGAAAAAGTTGTCGACTTACGATAGTGATATGTTAACTCGTACCCGGTAGTCAAGTCACAGTAGCTACAAGTGCCGCTAATGCATCCGTGTGTGTATTCTTGGCACGTGGTACATAATCAATATGAAAGCCTTCAAATGACTAGGCTAATTTGATGGCCACTTTATGACATGGGATCAAGTCATCATTCCTGACCTCGTATTCCCCTGTCATCTGGTTGACAATAAGTTTGGAAGGGTTGTATACTTTAAAACGGCTTATCCCTGATTATTTGGTAAGATCAAGGCTAATGAGAAAGATAGTGTACTCAGTCACATTATTGGAGCACAACTCTGTTAAAGTGAAGGCTCGAGGCAACACAAGATTTTGGGGAGAGATCAACACGAGCCCCCACTCCTACGACAATTATCCTCTCCGAGCCTACCCAGGACGCACCATTAAAGAATAATTACCAAACTCCCTCTTGTGAAGTCGTATTGACCTTATGGGTTTCATCTAGCATATCTTCGAATAAATCAGTCTTCGTCTCTAACGGATGACTGGCCATGAGATCACAGATGGCATGCCCTTTGACGAACTTTTGTGGCATAAAGTGTATATCGTATTGAGATAGTAGAAGTGCTCATCTTGCCAGACACCAATTTAACAACCCGGGTTGTGTCATGAAAACGCGGATGGGATTCACTTGAGAGATGACATGTATGGTTTGGCTGACCAAGTAATGTCGTATTTTTTGAATGGCAAACACTAGGGCCAAACATTCCTTTTCAACCATGAGATACTAATGTTCAGCTCCCTACAAGGTTCCACTCAAGTAATAAACATCTTGCGTGTGGTCGTCATCGGCATCTTATGCTAAAAGAGCCCTGAGAGAGTGCTCCATCGTCCGCACATAGATTAGGAAGGGTTTCCCTAAGACCAGAGCCATCAAAATAGGTGGCTGCAAGACATAAGTTTTAATCTCATCGAATGCTTTTTGGCAAACTTCATTCCACATAAAAGAAACACCCTTCTTCATCAGCTTTGAGAAGGGTTGGCATTTACCCGAAAGATTTGCAATGAATCTACGGATGTAGGTCAAACGTCCTTGCAGTTCTCTCAGCTCTTTGAGATTCCTGGGTGGTTGTAGCTCCTGGATAGCTCACACTTTATCGGGATCTATATGAATCCCTTTTGTTGTGACAACAAATCCAAGAAACTTGCCACTCGACATCCCCAAAAATGATTTTGTGGGATTTATTTTCAATTACTGAGATTGCATTAGTTCCAACATTGTTCTCAAATCTTGAAGATGATTGTCTTTGTTGCAACTCTTCACCACTAAGTCACCTATGTAGCATTTGACCATCTTACAGGGATGATCTCGGAACATCGTGCTCATGGCACGTTGAAAAGTTATGCCTGCATTTTTTAGCCCAAAAGGCATCATTGTAGTACAGTATATTCCTAATGGAGTCCTGAACGATATATGTTTTTCATCTTCAAGGTACATTTTGATTTGATTATACCCTGAAAATCCATCCATGAATGATATTCTTTCAAAACCACACGTATTGTCGATGATGACATCCATGATAGGTAAAGAAATTTCATCCTTCATATACGCAGCATTGAGATCCCTAAAATTAATGCAGATAGGGATCTTTTTGTTCTTCTTCATGACCGAAACAATGTTAGCCACCTAGTCTGGATGTTGTTCTTCTCGTACGAAGCCAGAATCGATCAGCTTCTTCACTTCGACTTTAATCGCCTCAATGATTTGCGGACGAAACCGTCTCTGTTATTGTTTGACTGATTTTATGCCCGGTTTGATGTTAATGCGGTGCATAGCTACCCGCAGGTCTAAGCCAAGCATGTCATCATAATTCTAGGAGAAGAAGTCAATATATTCCCTAATGAGAGATATAAGGTCTTCCTTCTCCTAGGGAGGTAAACTATCATTTATAAATATGGGTTTGGGGTTGGCCTTGTCTCCCATATTTATCTGAAGTACTTTGTCCTCAGTGGGTGGTTTGTGTTG